AAAGAAAATGAGATGAGAATGCAAGACCAAACCCAAATTAAGTCAATTTCTTTAATAATTCCCTTGTCAATTTCTTTAATAATTCCCTTGCATTTTAAATAGAAATATGCCCAAAACCTTGAACCTTATAATTTGGTGTCTTTACAATCTGTTGTGGAAACTGGTGTCATTATAAGGTGGTTTGTCTGTGGTTATTTAGCAATGTGGGTAAATCTTTATAGCCTTTAATTATTAACATTGGGCATCCATAATAGGTCTGCAAAATTTCAAGTTTGAATGATTTGTCAGTTGAAGTATAGATAGGGTTCAAGCCTTAAAAACAGTTTTATAACTCAAAGACAAACAGCTTCAAAAAAAAAATAACCAGATCAAATTTAAAGCTAAGTATAAATTGTGCCTATCTTAAAAAGTATGGTGATAGCCATTATATATTTTTACTAAAAAAAATATGATAATCTGAATTAGACATTCATGTGGAATTATATTAATTACAATATATCTGTAGGATGAGCAAATGAGTAAAAATTTAGACAAAACCCTAAGTTGTTGACTTTATAACTAAATTTTGCAAGAGTTTATATCTAAACTGTGACTAAATCTTTTTTTGTCACTTTATTTTTGTAAATTTATTTTTGCCTAAGTTTTGTTATTTTTATTGCTGTTTTGCTTCCTTTATTCCCTTTTTACCGGGTTGGGCCAAAGTCACCCTAACACACAGGGCGACTTTGGCCCACCATTTAAATCAAACAAAAGATACTTCAGGTGAATAATTTTCAAATGGGAGACAAATAGTTTTAAGTATCTTTTCTATGCACTTCTAAAAGTACTTGGTGTTTAATGAAATAACTTTCGTGGCTTTCATGCTATAGACATTAAGGTGCAAATGGGCCAAAGCCACCCAATCTTACAGTATAAAAAAATGTTCTGAGTGGGCTAATAATTTCTGGAAGCACACTGTATATATATATATATATATATATATATATATATATATATATATATATATATATATATATATATATATGCACATATATATACATATTATATATATATATGTATATATATATATATATATACATATATATATATATATATATATATATATATATATATATATATATATATATATATATATATATATATATATATATATATATATATATATATATATAATATTGGTGTAATGTAATATATATAACTAAATGTTGTTAATAATATTATGCCAATATAAAATGTCCGGATTTTAATATATATTGATTTACAATATTGGATATATATATAAACTGTATTATAATGCCAACATTTTTTTTTATCATAATCAATGAAAAAATATTAGTATTTAAAAAAAAGAGCACCTTGAGAAGGAATTAAACCTGCAACCTTGTTCGCCGTGCCTCAAAATAGACACTACTGTCATTCACAGGAATAAACTACCATATTAATGAGGAGAAAAATTTAAACATTTAAACATTTTTTTGTAAACGTTATGTAAACGTTTGTGTGAATGTGCAAATAATGTGAGTAACAATGTAATGAGAACATAATTGTATGAGCAATGTTTTGTACAAATAATGTTCTCCTAGTAATAAAACATTGAAATTTACAACAAAAAATCTTGTTTAAATAATAAGTTACATTGTTACATGTAATTTAAACCCACTATCACCAGCACCTAAATAGAAAAGCTTTATTACATGTACAGCACTACAAAAATATATTGATGAGGTGAAAAATAAAAAATAAAATTTCTGGTAAAGTTACTTCATGAAAAGTTCTTGTCAAGTGAAAGAAAAAGATTAACATAAAAAACACCAAAATTAAAAGAAAGATCTTGAGAAGGGATTAAACCTGCAACTGTCACCCTAAATCTTTTAAGCTGTGCCTCAAAATTTGACTTCTGTTACATCCACAGGACTGCACAATTACATTGATAAGGAGAAAAATGTTAAAATTTAAATATTTTTTGCCTACAAATAAAATTTTTGTTATGTAATCATTATTTGTACGAGCGCACAAATAATGTAAGCGATAATGTAAAAAGAATATTATTTGTATAAGCATACAAATAATGACCCCATAGAAAAAAAACATTAAAAATTTGGAAAAAAAATCTGCCTGAGGAGGACTTGCAACACTATCACCCATGCCTCAAAAGAAGAGTGTTATTACATTTACAGAACTATGGAATAACAATCAAACTTGTGGACAACTTACTTGATGAAAAGTTATGTTCAAGTGAAAGAAAAGATTATAAAAAAAGGAATTCTTAACAAAGGAGAATTAAAAAAAAAAAAATTATAAATAAAGTAAACTAATATAAAACTGAAAAACTAAAACTTTAATAAAAAAATTTATTTTTATTATTACGTTAAGTAATTATTATGATTGTATAACTTTAAAATTTTGATTTTTTCTAATATTTTTCTAATATTACATGAACTTTATTAAATGAAAATTAATCATGAAGTAAAACTAATCATAAAGTTATATTCAAACATAATTTTTTAAATAAATTTAAACAATAAATAAAACAATCATTAAAATGTGTTATTTTATTTAAAAACGTTTAGACTAGTATATAAACATTTAATTGGAAAGTTTAAATAACAACAACAACAACAAAATTTGTTATATTTTTGATTATATATTCGAAGATAATATATGTTAACTTTATGAATTTTTAAAAAAAGTTTATTAAAACACATTCGTTGTTGTCATTTTTTATAAAAAAATTCATAAATATTGTTTTCAAACATTTATTCATATATATTGTTTTCAAAAAAAAAAAGTACTTTTAAAATAAATACAAATTTTATTTATTATCCTATGATTCTAATTTATTTAATGATGTTTTATAACTTTATTTAAAAGCATTTAGCATAGTATAAAATTTATTAGAAAGTTTACAAAGCATAACAAAAAATATTTTTGTCATGTTTTTCACTATTAAATTTATGGATTCATCGAAAAGTCTTTTGAAAAAATTGTTTTCGTTATTGTTTATAAAATTAATTGTACAAACTGTTTTAAAAACATTTACATTCATTGTAATAAGTACATTTTCTAACAATATAATATGTTTCAATAATTTAAATAAAATGTTTTATTGTATACAGGGCTCAATTTAATTTTTTATAATGTCCCGGAAAAAATGTCCAATCAAAACTTGTTTGGGTTGGACTGTCAGGTTTTGAAAATATAATATTTACAGTTTTATGAAACGTAGTGATGCAATCAAAATCTGTATCATGTTATTCAGTTTATTTAATGTTAGTCGAGTAAAGTTTCTTTCCTTATTATTTAGAATATTTCTTTTCAATATTGTATATTTTAATGATGTTTTTTACAATTTGTCTACAGTTGTTTTGATGTTTTAACAATTTAAATGCAATTTAAAAAATCGTTACGTTATGAATAAAAAATTTTTTTTTTCAAAGTTTTTATTTTATGGGAAGGCTTTAAGTAAATCAAAAATTAGTTATAATACTTGATAAAAACAAATGCATTTTGTGTAAATTAAATGTTATATTAAAATTTTTTTTAATAGGTATTTTTTATGGCAATTTTAAACGCTTAAAACTATTATTCCATATCTTTCTAAATATCTTTTAAAAGATTATTTTTTTTAAGTTACTTTAAATTAAGAATATGTTATATTAAATCCCCCATGATTTAATGCTTTATTTATTTTTGTTTCTATTTTTACAAAGATTTGTTCAAAAGTTTTTTTTTTTTAAATTGGTTTACTAATCAAAGCATGGAATGATTAAAAATTACTTTTTTAAAAAGACTACGTTATTTTTTTAAACAATATTTTTGCAACTTTTTGAAAAAAATGTTTACACAAATTAAAAATGTAATACTTTTTTCATTTCAATAATTAATTTCATTTTTCAATAATTTAAATAAAATTTGTTTATTTATTAAACAATCAATAGAAGTAATTTGTAAAAGTCTTTTGCATAACTTTTTCGCATTAAAAATTTTGAATAAAACTTTTCAAAAGATAAGTATTAAAGTGATTGTTTTCAAACGTAATTAAAAACGTAACAAAAAGTAATTATCACTTCGAGTTTTTAGTGTTATTTTAAAGCTTAATTATTTCCTTTTTTTTGTTTTGTTTATTCTTTAGTTATTTCAATGATAAAGTATTTATTTTGTAGAACTCATTTTCCATCATTCGAAATGCCAGATTACTTTTTAAAATGATCGAAAATCTGAGGTTTTAGTTGAAAAATATTTGATGTCTGACTGTTACATTGAGTGTACAATCAATAAAAGCAATTTCTCACTTTATTATCTTATACTTTTTTTCAGCGCAAAAAAAAAAAGTTTTTCAAAATTATATCTTTTTGGTTTTCAAATTAAGTGAAATTATGTAAAATTTAAAAAATAATAGTTATTTATAAATACAAATTATTATTTTAGGAATACAAATTTTTATTTCACTTTTTTCTTCACTTGAGAGAGCCATACTTTTGAAAATTTTTATTTTATTAATCATATTTATCATATACTATTATATATTATAATCATATATAATCATACATTAAGGTGCATTATGTATATATATATATATATATATATATATATATATATATATATATATATATATATATATATATATATATATATATATATATATATATATATATATATATATATATATATATATATATATATATATATATATATATATATATATATATATATATATATATATATATATATATATATATGGTGGTAGAGTTAAGAGGGTTGATTATTGAAATTATTAGAATGACTCAAAAAAAAAATAAAAAGCAACTTCATTCTTGTTAACAGAGAAATAGCTTATTATAATTAACTAGAAATATTCAGAACTTTCTATAATAAGTTCTTTTCTTTTTTTTAAAATATTTTTCTTATGTAAAGCACTGCACAACATTTATTTTTATTATTTTATTCACAATTTATTACAAACAGATTTTTGTCTATTGCATAAATCAATATGTTTTTAGAAGCATTACCAAAGCCTCTCTTGATTCTTAATAATAAATCTGTTTGGTCAGGTTCCAGTATTTCTGGTATTTGTAATGTTTTACTGAATTCTAACATTTCTTATAATTTTTTTCACAATAATGAAACTGTGCACAATGCAAGTAGTCTTAACGAGTTTAATTTGTCAAACTTAACATCCGAAAGGTCTGGATATTACTCATGTTCTGTGTCAATAAATGGATTCGAACCAACATTTTCTGATCCCGTAAACCTTATAGGTAATCTTGTTTGTAATTTAATATTTGGTTATTAATATTATTAGTAATAAGTAATGCATATAAATATCTGTGTATATATAATATATAATATGTGTAAATATTTATATAAATGTATATATACCAGGCTTGGTCGGGAAGGGAGAGCGATTGCTCTCGATTAGCGGGGGCTATAGACCCAAGCCCCACAATGGTCAAAGGCCCCATAAAAGTCGAGAAGATCTTTTTGTTTAGTCATTTTTACGCTGTGGCACATACAAAGGCATCCAAAATATAAATAGCCCTCTGGCCCCGAAAATTCTAATAAGACTCTAATAAAACTGATGCAACTTTTAGTTTTATCTGAGCTAAATTATTTTATAAATAAAAAAATAATTTTTTTATTTATAAAATAATTTTTTTAATACCTATTTTATGCTTCACATAGTTTGAAAAGTTTAACATATTTGAAACTATTCTTCTTAGTAAGATGAACAAGTAAAACAATTAAATCATTGAATTACTATAGAAATTAAATAAACTAGATAAAAATCAACAAAATAGGAAAATACTTTATGACGAGGAAGCGAAACTGCTTCACAATATCACTAATGATATTTAGTGAGTGGGCTTTTTAATTTCAATTAGTATTTAAAGCAGAAAAAAGTATAACAATTTTTATAAATGGCAACTGAAGCAAAAATAATTAGAGTTAGTAAACCAAAATCTAAAAACTTTTCTGTATATCTAACAACTTGCTATATATATTTTTGTTCTGTCGTGACCTCAGACACGGTGCTTGTTCATCCACGAGTTACTTTGTAAGCATTGTTTTTGTTTAGTATCCTGAAACTTCTTATATGTTTGTTACATAATTAGTTTTTATTAACTTTGATGATTATTATTAACTTTATTGAAGACGTAATTGTTTTTGTAAGTATTTATTTACAAATTAAATCCTAAAATTTGCTTTAAAAGATTGCATAATGATAAAAAACAGATGCAAAAGTTACATTTACATGAAAAATACATACTTTTTAAATAAAAAATACGAATATACTAATAAAATCTATAATTTATAATAAACTTTCAAAAATTTGCCAATTTAAAAAATATATATTATAAAACATTAATTTTTGTAAACAAATAATAATAGTTTGAGATTTACAGCTTTGCAGATATGGCTCCGAGAATGAGTCATAGTATTGATAATATATTCTTAAAATAATTTTGGCTAGAAATCTCAAAATGTAACAAATTGTGAATAATACAATTTCTAAAACATTTCAACAGTGAACTCTAGAACTTTATTTTGCATAGTCAGCATATTTTTTGCACCAATAGAATTAGTTTGTTTGTAAATTTGGCGGTTTTTAAAAACACATTTAGGAAGAACCGGAAAAAGTGGGCTAATAAATTAACTAATTCACATCTTGGTACAACAAAGCAATTACTATACTTTTCTGATTTAATTTTTTTTTTAACAAGAACTTTTCTATTTATTACTTCAAAGTTACTTTCATCACTAAAAGTTTGTTGCTTTGACTTCTCCAAAGACCACCCAATTCTTTCCTTAGACCACTTTAATCGTGTTTGCCGATCTCTAGCTGTCAACATAGGTATTCGAACAGCAGCATAGACACTATTTATTTTCCTCAGTAAAATGTTTCAAACTGTACTTGACGAAATACCTTTTTCACGTTATTCATTGAATGCGTTGGTGAGTTCACAATAACTTAACCTTGGGTTGGCTCTTACTTGACAAAATTTAAGACAATTTTTGCTATTACTATGCTATTTCTTTATCATTGAACCATCCTTTATACCTATTGTTTGCCACTTTGTTGTTTCGCTAACTGTTTTTTGACCCATTTCTATGTATATTTATTTTTAGGTCTCATCAAAATATTTAAAAAAACTTCAAGTGTGACAAAACTAGTCATCATAAGTTGTTTTTTTTTCATTTTTTCATAGGAAAAAATTTTTTAATAACTTATATGTTAATTGGTCCAATTAGCATACAAGTTAATAAAATAATTACGAATAACAGTTGGGTTAACAAGAAAATAGAACAGAAATCTATTAAAAAGTTTGTGGTCCAATTTTTCCGTATTCTTAATTAATTTTCCTGTCCATCAAATAAAAAAAATTTTTTTTTATGTTTTAAAAAAGAAAATGAACTCAATTTTTTCCTGCGCTTCTTTTTTTTGAAAGCACTGTATGTATTACTCTTGCATGGTAGTCAGAAAGTTGTTTCCATAAACTGTAGTTTTAAAGAGCCCGTTAATAAACCAGACCAGAAAAAGTTGAAAAACTTAAATAATTTTTTTTTCTTAAATGATAGACTGCCTGCCCAAACCAAACCCTCAGTTGATGTAGCAGCACTCCCTTGCAAGTCAGGCTATTTGTCAGTCAATGTAGCAGCACTCCATTGCGAGTCAGGCTATAAGATAGTCGATGTAGCAACACTCCGTTGCGAGTCAGGCTATAAGATAGTCGATGTAGCAACACTCCCTTGTAGCAGCAGGCTTTAAGATAGTCGTTGTAGCAACACTCCACGCATGTTTTGAAAATATATTTTTACAAAACAACAACAAAAACACTATTAATTAAAAAAAACTTTCTAGTTATTATAGTTGCAGTTTTTTTTAAAAACAATAAAATTTAAAATTTTCACATTAATTTTATTGTTTTGACATTTCGATGACAATAAAATGCAGCTTAAGAGAGGAAAAAAAATTGAAGTCGAAAGAGACTTTTTTTACCATAAAAGTCTCTTTCAACTACAATATAAGGATATATATATATATATGTATTTATATATGTATACATATATATTTTTATATATTGCACACACACACACACACACACACACACACACACACACACACACACACACACACACACACACACACACACACACACACACACACACACACACACATATATATATATATATATATATACATACATATATATACACACACTACACTTATATATACATATATACAAATAGTATATATATCAATATATATATATATATATATATATATATATATATATATATATATATATATATATATATATATATATATATATATATATATATATATATATACACAATTTTTTCCAGGAAGTTGTTCGTCCACAATTAAAGTAGTTTTTTTAAACAAACTGACCACTGTAGTTCGAATCTTTTAACTTATTAAGTGTAACAACAATTTGTGGCTAAAAGCCAAACTTACCTACCAAGAAAAAGAAAAAACAATCCCCAAAAAATAAGAAGCCTAATTGTAAGGAAATATTAAGTTAAATTAAATAAACTAGAAAATTGAATAATTAAAAAAAGTAAATACTAAAATACTAAAAAAAATACTAAGAAATAGTAAAAAAAATATAAATACTAAAAATAGTAAAAAAAAGTAAAATTTTTTAAAATTTTTATACAACTTTTGCATTCTTTTTTTTATAAAAAACTTTTATAACAATTTAACCATGATTGAAAGTTTTGATATCTAATATATATTTATAATTTTGATCAGTCCATATAATTAAAAAATTATTTTGCTATGTATGCCAGAACTATAAGAAATTTTGTTAATTTTTTTTCTTATGTTTATTTGTTTATTACGTCTTTTTGCTTTTAAAAAAAGTTTTTACTATATTTGACATTTTTTCTCAATACTTATATAATAGGAAAATCAGAAGATTTTTTTACAAATAAACAGCAATTAGTTTTCTTGCTTTCCTTTGCATTGATAAAAACAGTAATGTTAAGCAAAGACATTTGAAAACTAAATTAAAAATTGTCAGCGTTTCTTGCGCAAATTATAAAGTATTTCCTTTATATACTGGCTGAAAAAGGTCGTGAAAAAATTGTATATCAAAAAAAAAATTATTTTTTTATATACAAATAAAAATAACAAACGCCCTAAAATAAGAAAACAAAAAGAATAAAACATTTAGGTATATTATTTTTTTGACAACAATTTTCTTTTTTTATTATTCAATTTTTATTAGCTTATTTTATTAAGATTTTCTTTTTTGTATAGTCTTCGGTTCTTTTTTTTTTTGAGTATTGCTGTTTTATTCTCTAGTTTCTTATAGCTTTATTTTACCACAAATTCTTAAAATGCTTACTATATCAAAACGTGGTCAATTTGTCTAAAAAAATTGTTTTAGCGTGAACAAACAAGGCATGTGACTGCACATGCTTCCCGTGACACACGCATACACACATATATATTAAAATAGTATATCCACTCATACATCCCTCAGAATTAGAGTCAGCATTTGGTAATCTTGACCCAACTGCCAACCTGACAGTGTCAGAGGTTGGTAATATTTTGCTGACCTCAGAATTTTAAAACCTAACTTTATTTGCTAGTTCAAATAAATTGAAAATGGCAAAATATAAAACGAATGATTTATTTAAATTCCAAATAAATAGTTAAAATAAAAACACCAAATAAACGTTTTATTTCAATTGTGAACAAATTAATTTAAAAGTACAATAGCAAAACAAACATTTTATTTTAATTTATTATTAAAATAGTTATGGTTAAAACAAAAAAAATAACTTATTTAAATTCTAAATAAAATACTTCAAAAATATTTTTTTAGTTGTTTATATAGTTGCTAATAAAATAACTAAATGTTTTTTTTTTAGTTGCTGATAAAATAGTTAAAATAAAAGAACAAAATAAACATTTTATTTAAATTCCAAAAACTAACCTTTTATTCAAGTTATAAACAAAACAATTAAATTGACAAAATGAACATTTTATTTAAATTCCAAAAACTAACCTTTTATTCAAGTTATAAACAAAACAATTAAATTAAAAAGAAAATAAAAATTTCTAAATCAAATAATTAAAATAGAAATCTGCAAAACTTTCATTTTTTTGGTTTTTAAGGTAAGATTCGCAAACTTGGGGTTTATTTTTCTTTTAATTTTTCACAAAATATTTGCATGTTTGTCAATTTGTCAAACCCTGTTTTCAAAGTTTTGTGCCAACCTGATGCTGACCTAAAATGATTTTAGTTTGGCAATTTTTTATCAATCTAATTTTTTCTAATATTTTCTTTGTTTTAAAGGTGGAAGTTATTTTGTTAGTATTATGTATTATTATGAAGTTATTATGTATCATTTTAGTTCAAACTAATTCTCTCCTTTTGGCCAAAAAACAATGATGGATACTTCTGTGACGCTCTTGGAACAGCATTCTGTTTGCCTAAGTGGGAATGCTGAATTTTGGAATTTTTTTTTATTTTTTATAAATCAAATTTATATTGTATGTAGCATCATTGTTGTTTTCTTCCATCAGATCGAAATATAGTTCTGGATTCTAAATTGTTTCTATAATTCTAAAATATAATTCTTATACTACTTTCTTTTGCCCTTTTATAAAAAGTGCCCTGTTATAAAAATTTTCAAAAAGCTTACATGGTGTGGGGTGCAATTTGTGCAATAAGATTAATCTAGTATTTGTCAGAGAAGGAGTTAATTGATTCAAGTAACTATATAGAGAGTGTTTTAAAATCATTTATTAATTAAAATGATATTAAAAGTCTATATCCAAAAAAAGAACTTTTTTCCATCAAGACTTGGCACCTAGTCACTCTTCAAAAAAAATAATTTTTCAACTTAAATTTTCAACTAACTAAAAAATCAAATTTGTTCATCCTGAAAAGTGGACACCAAACTCACTAGATAATGCAGGTGTGAAAATTTTTATCTGAGATTATATGAAAAAATATTATTTTTCAAAAATGTTTTCAAAACTTTAATATTTTGGACTAACGCAGTCCAAATTACCATAATTTCAATTGCTACTTTGCAATCTGGGTACAACAATCAGATTATTTTGCTTTTCAGATTAAAATCTTTTAATAAGAACTTTTGTTTTTTCTATTTATTAAGTCAATTTAACATTGAAAATTACTTGTTTTTAGTTTCTTAAAGTGAAAACTAGTACTCAATACTGAAATGAGAAAATTTCTTTTTTCTTAAATATGCTTTCAAATGTAATCAAAGAAAATAAAAATGGTAATAAAAAATACAAAATTAATTAAAATAAATTACAATTTAATTAATTTAAAATGAATAAAATTATTTCATTTTTCTCATTTTTTTATATTGTATTTCATTTATATCATTTCATTTTAGTACAAATATTAGTTACTGTTCAAAATCAAACATATCAAGAAAATGTTGATGCTAATATGACATGTGTTACTCCTAGTTCTGAGAAGATTTCAAATTATAACTGGTTTTTTGAAAACAAACTTCGTTATTCAAGTAATACATCCAATACTTTAACAATTAAAAATCTATCTAGAACTGATGCTGGCAATTATCTATGTCAAATAATAACAGCTGGAGGTGTGACTGCTAATAGTACTGGAAACTTAGATGTGCAATGTGAGTAAATTTACAATGTTGAATAGTTTCGAGTTGTCATAATATTAAGTGTATTAACTTTTACTCTTTTTTATACTCATTAATTAGTTGTATATTGTAATTATATGTTGCTTACATATTAACTTTTAAAAAAACTCTTAAAAATATTAATCTTTTTTACTAATATACTACAACAGACTTATATGTGTAATAAAGATTCAAGGAAGGGAAGGCTCTGATATGGTAACCTCTATTAGTCTGGAAGGAGTAAATAATTTACAGAAATTTTTCAATTTAGTTAGACTTTTAATTTTTTTTTGTTCAATTTTTTTGATTGGTTGTTTTAGGATAATAACACTAAAGGAGTAAAAAATTTCAGTTTGATTGTTATTGACAGTGTTGGTTCTTATGCATGAAAAACTTTTGATTTACTAGTTAGAACAACTGTAATCCAAACTGAAAATCATTGTTTAAATAAATTATTTTTTATTTCCATTACAGTAATGTTTAGTTTAATATTGTATTTAATTTATTGTTTAAACATTATTTATCATTTTGCACTTTCAATATTTGATGAAAATATATAACTATATAAAATAATTTCTAGAACAATTTTTACCAACAATATAGTATGTATGTATGTATGTATGTATGTATGTATGTATGTATGTATGTATGTATGTATGTATGTATGTATGTATGTATGTATGTATGTATGTATGTAAAATTAACATTAACAAACATGTCTCATCTTGAATAAATTATTTTCTGATCATCAATATGGATTTCGATTTTCTCGTTCTATGGCTGATTTGCTAACAGTAATAACTGATAGGTTTTAGATAGATTCAAGATGAGAAGTGTTTGTTAATTAAAGATTCAAAAACCTTGCTTATGATAGGAAGAAGACGGTAGTTAGGCGAATCAGATCGCTCTCCAGAATTTTTAAATATAAGAATAACAGATGCTGCTTTCCAGCTGGCTGGAAAACAAGACTCTGATAAGCACTTGTTGAATAGTTTTGAGAGGATAGATAACAGCTCCGGAGAACAGGTATGTTGTCTGGGCCACAAGCTGTAGAAGAGTCTTAGCTGGAAATCACTTTACATACAGAAGCTGGGGTGATACGGATGTCGAGCGATGGATCAACCTGTTTGAGGGCTATATCAGGTAGAACGCAACTAGTGGAATCATGAGATGATATTGATGAAAAGTTCTTATCAAACAATTCAGTTTTGTCTTTAGGTGAGGTAACAAAGTCTGAACCATACAAAAGAAGTGAAATTACAGACTTGCCCTTATTATTATTACTATCAAAGATTCTCCAGAATTCACAAGAGCCTAATTTTAATAATAATAAACAGACGTCTGTTTGCTGGAGAATTGTTTTGCTGATAGATATGGAAGTAATGGTTTCGATTTTATAATTGCAGCAGCACAATGTGAGGAAAACCATAGAGAAGAGTGAGGCTTGATCTAGAATCGTCGAGAGGGAGTTAAAAGATGTACCATGATAGGGGGATTCTGATGATAAAGAAGAATGAGATAATAGTTTTAGAGAGACTAAACCATGATCGGAAGCACCTAAAGGTGAATGTGGAGAAATTGAGCACTGACTAGGATCCGAAACAAGACAAAAGTTGAATAGAGAAGGTAAATGATTGGGGTTGTCTGGAAAGCAAATTGGAAAGTTGACTATTTGAGTTAGGGATTGAGAAAGGCAAAAGTTGTGGGCTTTAATGCATGCAGTGTCACTGATACTAGAGCCAAGCCGTTCAGTGTGATGAACATTAAAGTCACCAACAACAATATTGGCTGATGGATAAAGAGAGAGGGCTTGGTCAATATGATCAGAAATAGCATCAAGGAGAGTGCAGTCTTGAGATGAAGAAGAGCGATGTAGAACAAAGAGAAAGGTGATAGAGTGAAGTGGTGCTAAACGAAAGCACATAAAAGAGTAGTCTGTGGATTCAAACCTAGTTTCCATACAAAAGGGTGAATTCTTACGAATGTAAATGCCTAAGCCAAGCATGTAACTATTGGAGTCTTTATGAATTAAAGGAAGATAAAAATCAATACTAAGATCACATGATGAGACAGCTGAAATCAAATTAGTCTCACAAAGAGCAAGTAGGTCTGGTGCAGTTTGCAAGAGATTCAACAGAAGAAAAGTTACTTCCAAGGCCACGAATATTAGTGAATGATAGGTTTAGCGAACTTGGTGATGACTGTGGTTTTTTGTGTTTTATAGTTTTTGTTACTTTATTTATTTTTAAATTTGTTATAGACTCGAAAAATAGATAATACTCAGTACACTGTTTTATAGCCCAAGCAATTGCCTCATTACTACTAATGAACCCTAAGCCGTAACAAAGGGCTCAAATGTGGCCTTGGCAATGCACACCAAAAGTACAAACAGGGACACCATCCATACGCAACATGGCACTGTTAGTACTTTGATATTTTTCAGCTGTTGATGGAATCAGCCTCTCTGAGAGCTGCCACATAGTTCAAGAAACCTGACTACCAGCCGGCCTCAGAACCATAAAACTGAGTTTTAGAGCTGTACTCTCATTTGGAGATAATAGAATGAGTTGCCTAGTCATAAAAACAAAGACACAAGCAAAACCCATGCATCGAGTCAAGAAGATCCAGCATTCAACATCCTAAACTGGAAGCAATGTATTAAAAATACATTTGCGCCAGCCTAATAGATGAAGAAAGGGTGCGAGGCTGGTCAAAAGATAGAATCTGTTTACCCCTTAAGTCTTTGCTTAGGAGGCCTTCTACAAAACAGCAGCTGGATGCATTTAACATCTGCTCAAGATGAGTATTTTTATTGAGACACCGTCTCTAGCCTTTACTAAACCAAGAACTCTAAGACAAGGAGTGTTTTATCTAGGAATTGGCATCTCCTAGCCTTTGCCTAAAAAGGTGTATCCTACAACGCAGCAGGACATGAAGCAGATTGTACTGGGTTACATGTTACCAGTAGCAAGATAAACCTGACCTGACCTGTTAAATTAGTTTTTAATTAGTTTTAAATTAAATCATATATTTTTTATCAGAATTAAATTAGGTTATTAAAATCTTTGCTTCAAGCTTAAAAAACCAATCATTACAATAAAGTAAAAACAAAATAAAAATAAACTTTTAATTTAATTTTAATTTTTTTCATTAGTAAATAGCGCTTATATCAAACATAATTGTCATTCAAACTTTTTTAACAAATATTTTCATATAAACCTCATTCAATAGTTAATGTATGTATGTATGTATGTATGTATGTATGTATGTATGTATGTATGTATGTATGTATGTATGTATGTATGTATGTATGTATGTATGTATGTATGTATGTATGTATGTATGTATGTATGTATGGATGGATGTATGTATGTATGTATGTATGTATGTATGTATGTATGTATGTATGTATGTATGTATGTATGTATGTATTAGTTGTGAATAGGATATATATATATATGTATGTATGTATGTATGTATGTATGTATGTATGTATGTATGTATGTATGTATGTATGTATGTATGTATGTATGTATGTATGTATGTATGGATGCATGTATGTATGTATGTATGTATGTATGTATGTATGTATGTATGTATGTATGTATGTATGTATGTATGTATGTATGTATGTATGTATGTATGTATGTATGTATGGATGGATGTATGTATGTATGTATGTATGTATGTATGTATGTATGTATGTATGTATTAGTTGTGAATAGGATATATATATATGTATGTATGTATGTATGTATGTATGTATGTATGTATGTATGTATGTATGTATGTATGTATGTATGTATGTATGTATGTATGTATGTATGTATGTATGTATGTATGTATGTATGTATGTATGTATGTATGGATGCATGTATGTATGTATGTATGTATGTATGTATGTATGTATGTATGTATGTATGTATGTATGTATGTATGTATGTATGTATGTATGTATGTATGTATGTATGTATGTATGAATGTATGTATGTATGTATGTATGTATGTATGTATGTATGTATGTATGTATGTATGTATGTATGTATGTATGTATGTATTAGTTGTGAATAGGAAAGGTAATTGTACTCCAATCATGACCACGCAAAAAGTAATTGTTTTTTTTTTGAAAGCTTGACCACGGCTTTTTATATAATTAAAATGCACTAAAAAAAAAGACAACAAAAAAATTTTAAACAGGCTAAACTATATAACAACAACAACAACAAGATATTTATTTTCCTCAAAGTTTACAATCATATAACAACAATAATATAATAATAATAATAATAATAATAATAATAATAATAATAATAATAATAATAATAATAATAATAATAATAATAATAGTAACAATAATAATAATAATAATAATAATAATAATAATAATAATAATAATAATAATAGTAATAATAGTAATAATGATAATAATAGTAATAATAATAGGAATAATAGGAATAATAGCAATGATAATAGTAACAACAATAAAAATAATAAGAATAAGAATATCTATAATATTATAAATAATAAAATCAAAATATAATTATTAAGAATAAATATAAGTAATTGATTGAGGAAGGAGTCAAATAATTATATTAATAATATTAGTTTAAAAAATAATAATAACAGTAATAGTTTTATTAATTAGTAGAGCAAAAGTAACAGCAAAAATAATAGTATTTATAATAATAGTAATAATAAAAACAACAGTAATGAAAGTAATAAATGTTAATGACAAAAGCAATAAAGTTTTTATAGAAATAGTAAAAAAATAAAAAATAAAAAAAAAGAAGAAAACTAAAAGAAGTTAATAATGATAAAAAATTAAAATTAAATTTTCTTTAGAATTTGTTTAAATTTATTTTGTTTTAAATAAAGAAATGAAGATAAATTATTTTTAAATTTTAACTTTTCAAACTCATTCACAATGCACACAAGACTTTGATTCCATTCACCAATGCACTGATGTGTAATTGAAAACTTACCATAGTTAAATT